TAGTATTAGTTTTGGTGTTATGATTAGGATTAGAGTTAGGATTATGAGTATGATTAGTAGTAGGATTAATCTAAGATTATGGTTATTAATTAGGATTAGAATTTGGATTATATAATTAGCATTTAACATTAGCCTTAATATTAACATTAACATATTTTAATTAGTAGATTAAGATTAGCATTATCGTATTATGATTAGCATTAGCTACATCATTAATATTAGCATTAGAAATATGATTAGCATTAGCATTAAAATATTAGTATTAACATTAGCGTGTTAGTATTAGCATTATAATTAACGTATTATTATTAATATTAGTGACAGTGTACTTATTAGGAGTATGATTAGTATTAGGATTAGGCTAAAGATTGTGATTAATATTATGAATAGGATTTGGATTAGCATTAGCATTAACATTAGCATATTATAATTATGATAAGCATCGGCATTACATATTATAATTATGATTCGCATTAACATTGACATTAACATTAACATTAGTATTAGAATTAGGATTAGCATTAGGATTGAAATAAGAATTATAATTAGAATTAATTTTACCATTAGGATTAGTATTAGGTTTAAGCTGATGATTAGGATTAACATTACCATTATATTAGCATATTATGATTAGAATAAACATTAACATTAACATCAAATTAGAATTACGGTTAGTATTATCATTATAATTAGAATTAGTATTAAAATTATCATTAGCATCAACATTTTAGGATTATGATTAATATTAGCATTTGCATTACCACGAGCATTAGAAATAACATATTTGGATAATGATTAGTATTAGCATTATCCTTAGCATTAGAAACATGAGTAGGATTATGATTAAGATTAGAATTAGAATTATGATTGAGATTTGTATTAGCATTAGCTTTAGCATTAGTGTTAACCTTAGCATATTAGTGTTAGCATTAGCATAATACTATTAGCAAATTACAATTATAATTAGCATTAGCAGATTATGATTAGCAGTAATATCAGGATTATGATTAACATTAGCATTAACATATTAGTATTAACGTTACCATTAGCATTATCATTAGTGTGTTATTATTAGTAATAGTATTAGTAATAGTGTTAGGACTAGGATTATAATTATGATTATGATTATGATTAGTATGAAGATTAAGCTAATGATAATGATTAATACTAGGATCAAAATTTGAATTAGGATTACCATTAGTATTAGTATTAGCATATTATATTTGTCATTAACATTAGCGTAGTA